GTAAAATTTGTCCTAATTTCCTTTTCAGTGAGTTCATTATTGCTGTACAGGAATGTTATTGATTTTTGTGTTGCTTTTGTATCCTGCTGTATTGCTGATATTGGTTATTAATTCTATGAACATTTGGTAGAATTGGGGGGGTTCTTCCATGTACAGGATCATGTCATCTATAAATAATGATAATTTGACCTATTTGTTTTCTATTCTGAGAAGAGTATGCAGTCTGTATCTATTAAGTTCATTTGTTTGAAGATTTGACTCAACCCTAGGATTTGTTGATTTTTTTGGTCTAGTTGCTCTATTTGTGATAGTAGGGTGTTGAGGATCTCACTATAATTTATTGCTGTTTATCTGGTCTTTTTATGTCCAGTAGTGTTTGTTTTATGAAGCTGTGAGCTGTTGTTTAATGTATATATGTTTATAATTATTATCTCTTGCTGTTGAATTGCTCCTACTTGCTTTTTTGATCAGTTTTGGCTTAAAGTCTACTATGAAAATAGATTAGCTATTTCTGCCTGTATCTGAGTTCCCATTACATGGAATGTTTTTTCCATCCTTTGATGTTTAGTCTATGAATTTCTTTCTGGGTTAAATGTGTTTCTTGTATGCAGCATAGCATATCATTTTGTTTCTTGATCCATTCTGTCAATCTCTGTCTTTTTTTTGTTGTTGTTGTTCCTCGCATGCCTTCAGGGCACGTTTGCCAGCGGGAGAGTTGTGAGGTTCGAACTCCAGCCACCCGAGGTTGACAGCTTTGTGGAAGCAGCCACTTAAAGGACTGAGCTAGGCCCAGGCCCCCGATCTGTGTCTTTTGACTGGAGATCTATACTCTTTTTCTTTCTAAATCAAGCTGTTAATTTTCGTTTTCCCATCTTATTTTTCCCAGTAAAAGATTAAAAAATAAACAAGCAAACAGATACAATTCCAAAACTAAACAAAAGAATATGTTCAGACACTTGTGACCTTATAAATACCCTGATGCCTGCTGAAATGTCTCAGAGGTTCTGCTGTTAGGGATTATTTTTGTTGGCTTTAAGCCTCCCCCCACCTCCTCCCGCCCGGGATGAGGATTACACTCAGGGCCTCTTCCTCTGAGCCCTTTTCTAAAGTTTTATTTTGAGACCTGGTCTAACTAAGTTGCCAAACTGTGCTTGAACTTACAGTTTTTTCTGCTTCAGCCTCCTGAATACCTGGAATTATGGCTCCTTAAAGCTTTTTTTTTTTTCTTTTTAAAGCATGTACTCTTTTTTTTTTTTTTAATTTTATTTATTTATTTATTTGAGAGAGAGAGAGAGAGAGAGAGAGAGAGAGAGAGAGAGAGAGAGAGGCCAGCTCAGCCCACCAGGGGGCAGGCTGGCTGGCATGTGGTGCTGGGGGATTGAACCGCGGTCCCTGATGCTTTTGCTAAGCTTGTTCTAAGTAGGTGCTTTAGACCACTGAGCCATCTCTCCAGCCCTAAAGCATGTACTCTTGGGGAGACCATTTATCAGCTATGATTATCTTGTGAATCAGGTAATCAGATCACTGAGATAGGGGTTCAAGTTTTCAGGGGGATGCTAATAAGATCTATTTTTTAAAAATCTTGTATGTATGTATGTATGTATGTATTTAGTACAGGGTCTCACTACACAGCTCAGACTCATAGTGATCCTCCTGTCTCAGCCTCCCCAACACTGGGATTACAGACATGTGCCACCATGCCCGGTTTTGGTGGCTGGCACAGCTGGGGCCTTCACAGCAGGCAGTATCGGGGATCAAACCTGGCTCCTTGCTCTTGCCAGGCAAGTGCTTAGACTGCCAAGCTGTATCCCCAGCTCTAAGATCTATTTCTGACACCGGGCACTGTGACACACATCTATAATCCCAGCACTTGGGAGGCTGAGGCATTGTTGAGAATTCGAGGGCAGCTTGAGGTACAAAGTGATTTTTAAGGCCAGCCTGAACTACACAGTTTAACCTTGTTTCCAAAAGACAAAAATCCTCTATTTCTGAGACCAGGGTAGCCACCTGAAGGGTCCCACCTGAGGCTCCTGGGAAAGAGGCAGAGAAAGGTAAAATGCCTAACAGGAAGTAGTAGAGGAGACTGTCAGAGACCATGGCCCCATGTGGTATGGGAAGATAGGGAGAGGCGTCTCTGCAGGCTCAGCCTTCTCTTCCTTCCTGTCTTTCTGGGCAGTGGGATCTTCTTTCCTACAGTGTAGTGCTGCGTGCAGCAGTGGTCATATCCAGGTGGGGGACTTTGTGGCTTCAGCTCTGGTCCTTGCCCTCCTCACCCGCTGTCTGCTGGGTGTTGCCATCTAATGTTCCCATGTTCTCCCAGCCACCTGTGTCTCAGCTGGGTAAGGGTGCCCCTGTTCTCTGGGTCCTGTTCCTTGTCTTGCGCCTCTTGGGACCACCTGTGTCTTTGCTGGTTCTGCCTTCCCTCCAGTCTTGAGTTTGCCTCCCAGCCTCAGACACAGCTCCCTGCTAGAATCCTGTCTGTGGATGGTCCTAATCATCCCTTACTGTGCAGGAGGCTGCCTAGGGCTCCTGTTCCCACTGTAGGCAACTCCTAACCCTTCAGCCTGCTCCACACTATCCTCTGTGTAGCCTCACCTCACCCTCCCTATTCTACAACAGAGACAGACATGGCCAAAAAGTGCCTTATCCCATGAAATTCCTGGGTGGGAACCACTATTATCTTTGTTTTTCTTTTATATACAGGGAAATGGAGATTTAGGTTAAGTAACTCAATGTCAAACAATAAGAAATTGAAAGAACTGGGATTTTAACCTAAGTCTTTCTGACTTCTGATCCCAAACTCATAGCCTCCATGTCCTGGTGCTTTGAAGACTCCTAAGTGTGGCTACTGGCCAGTGGGTGAGTAGCACCTGGTGCCCAGGGGGCATGCAGAACCTCGGGCTACACTTGAGACTTAGCTGCAACAGACTGCCTGACCAAGAGCTCCAGGGACCCAGGTGTGCACTGGGTCTGAGATGCGCTGCCCTTGTGGTTTTCCAAGCTCAGGGACATGCATCCTTGCTGGAGGGGACAGGCACATGGCCTCTCAAATCTGATTTTCAAGGTTCAGATTTTTTTTTTTTTTTTTTAAGTACAGGGTCAACAGGGTCTTACTACATAGATCGGGCTCATAGCGATCCTCCTGTTTATAGCCTCCCAAGCGCTGGGATTCCCAGTCTCAATCACTGTCTCAGCGCACCCTGGAGGCGGGGCCAGCACGGCAGGCCCAAGAATCGAACTTCTAGCCCCTGCATGTGCCTAAGCAGGTGCTTTAATCCACTGAACTATTTGGCCAGCCTCAAGGTTCAGATCTATATATGCCATGTATTAGAGCTATCGAGTTCTTGGGAGGTAACACCTTAGCTAAGGTTTTCTCGTCTGTAAAAGGATGATACATTTAGTACCCGTGGAATGAAGTTGGAGAGATTAAGCAAGTCAGTGCATGTCTTACCCACTTGGACAATGGGTAAAAGTATCCTGAGAGCCACATAGGTAGGGGTCCAGGCAGCCACAGGCTTAAATCCTGGCCTTAGAATCCCAGATGGGGAACATGTCCTCCTTGGGCTGTCCCATCATGATGAGGTCAAACCCAGATGCCAACCAGACAAACCCCAACACCTCCCTGGCAGAACAGGATGGGGAGAAGATGCCACAGAGTGCAGACCGAGGGCCTGCACAGCTTCCCTGGGGGTAGGGCTGCGGGATCTCAGATCAGTATCTGGGGCTCAACCCACAGCCTCTCAGTGCCCTCAGCAGTGTCTCCAAAGACATGCCATTCCCTAATACCCACCTCTGCCTTGAGCGCACAGAGCCCGTAGTGCTTGTCTGCCATCTTCCCAGTAGGGGTCCAGGTTCCCCACCTATGGAGCTCCCAAAGCTGCTTCCTGAGTGTAGAGCTCTTTGGGTGGTTGAAATAATTCCCACTGAAGGAATTCATTCTGTTTTCAGTCACCTCCAGGCTTAATCTTCCCAGGGCACATTTGCATTTCAAGTAGAATGCTTATACCAACAATATTCACCATTAATATGAGGGGTGAAGGGGCCCTCATTTCTCTTTGGGGGATGGGCTTTCCCAGGTCCCTTTCTGACCTCCCTCCTCCTCGCCCTGCAGTGGGTGGACAGGATGTGTAGGGGAAGGTTCCTGCCTGGTGCACAGGTTGAAAGAGAGCTGCCTTCCCAGATATCATTGTTTCCTGTATTAAACGTTGTGGTGAGACCTAGAGTTATTTTGTCAAAGTTGCTTTTATCATTAATTTCCTATCACCATTGCCAAAGACCAAGAAGGAAGTCATCTCAGTCTTCTCAGTGAAATAATTTTACATTGTGCAAACCTGTGGCATTGTTCTTTGGTTTTCCTTGTTCACAGATTGGCATTTGGGAGCCATGCACTGGACAGTCTTGGGTCTGGCCCAGCCCTCAAATTCTGCAGTTTTCAAATATCTTAGTCACATTGCACTAAAAATACAATTTCAGATGTTAACAGTTAATGCTCACTTGAATTTAGCAGACTTTCACAAAGCATCCTGCCCTGGAAGTGGCCACAATAAAGGGAAATTGGGGCACAGAGAATGGATGGGATTGGGAACAAATGAAGAGGCGAGTAGGAGCCATGCCCCTTTTGTTGCTGTGTCTGTCTCCCCAGGACTTGAGCTGTAGGAGGTGGCTGTATAGTTGGTCCTGTCCCACAAGTGTGTGTGTACGTGTGTGTATGTGCTGGGGTAGGATGCTCATGGTCTTAATGGGAGCTCCCACCCATGAAGACTCACCCCTCCTAGTACCCTTCTAAGTCTGGGATTTACCCCTGCGTATTACACTCACCTGATCCCCAAGGAGAGGTATGAAGTGGGAGTGGCAGCAGCTTGGCAGTGGAGGTCCTGGACATAGAAGGACAAGGCTCTCTTTTGCCCCTAGACTGTGCTGACCTGACCCTGACCCTGGTGTCTGGATCTCCTTGGCCTGACCCAGGATTTACTCATGGATATTCCATGGTTCCATTCCAGGTGTGTGTGGCTGCTGTGGCGCCCTTCGCCCCAGGTACAAGAGGCTGGTTGACAACATCTTCCCCGAGGATCCTGAGGTAAGTCACACTCTGATGGCATCATCATGACTCTCACTACCCAGGCCTCTCTGAGCTTGCTGCGGAGGAAAGGCAGGCATAATGGAGCCCTGGCCCCCAAAACCCAGCCAGAGAGACAGGAAGGTTGAGGGCGTGTGGTCTCAGGCTTCAGAGGAGCAGCTGAAAGTGTTTTGGTGGCCTTCCCATCCTCCTGGGGGAGGGTCCCCGGGCACCAGCTCTCTTGGTAGGAGATTGCCCTACTGGCTGTGCTTCCGCTCAAAGCCCCACATCTCTTCCCAAGCTGCCCCAGGAACTGTGGGATGCATGGTGTGAATGTGCAAGAGGCCCAGATCCTGGCTTCTAAGCCGCCTTGTCCCACGTCAGGCTGCACTGTGGGTTGTGGTCTGGAAGTGTCAGGATTTGATGTACTTGACTTGCTCTTTGGGAATCAATGGTCTCTTCTGAATAGACAATCGCATTTCTAGCATCCTCAGGAGAGCTCCCCAAGGGCCGCAGAGCTCCTGCTTTATGACTTGGTTCCAACACATCTTAACCCTGAGTGGCTTTTAACGAAGGCTTGCTGCTATTCATTCACACCCCCACACACACTCAGCCACATGTGCATATACATTCGTGCATATACTTGCATACACATACTTCTGTCACTATTCGGATTTTTTCAGAGCTAGCTGGCATGGAGGGCTATAGCCCTGGGTCTCGGCTGACTGCGTCTCTGCAGCCAGCATGGTGTCAGGCATGGGCATAACTGGCCCTGTATAAATGTTGATTCAGTTGGTTGTGTTTACCTCCAAGCGCGAACCCTTCTGCCATGGTCTGGCCATGGTGATTTTGAACCATCTCTCTTGCAGGATGGCCTGGTAAAGACAAATATGGAGAAACTCACCTTCTATGCCCTCTCTGCCCCAGAAAAGCTAGACCGAATTGGCGCCTACCTCTCCGAGAGGCTCATTCGAGATGTGGGCCGTCACCGATACGGGTGAGCAGTGGCAAGTGGGGAGGCTGCCCGCAGACTCCGCTCTGCTGTTGGGGAAACAGTGGAATGTTTCGAGTAAGTGGCCGCAGGCTGGATGACTCAACAGGCTGAGCAAACAGGAGCCGGACTGAGAAGGGGCCCCACAGCTGTCACGAAGAACAGGGAAACCGGGTGCTGCTGCCGCAGTTTGAGAAAAAGTTCCTGAGGAGCACTGCTGTGTCTCCACACAGAAGCCCTTGTACCCAGTGTGGGGCCTGGGAATAGCCCAGCCCAGATCACGCTGTCACTGCTCTGAAGCCTGCCCTGTTTTATGCCACTTAGTGTTGTTAAAGACTTGAGGAGGAACCATCCACTTCCTAGAGGGAAGATAAGGTTAGGGGTACTGTGTTCATTAAAAGTACACTTCAGCTGGGCGTGGTAGTTTATAATCCCAGCACTCGGGAGACTGAGGCAGGAGGATCATTGTGGTTTGAGACTAGCCTGGGCTACAAAGTGAACTCAAGGCCAGCCTGAGCTGCAGAGAGAGACCCTGCCTCAAAAAAAAAAAAAAAAAAAAAAAAAAAGGCACATTTTAGTGAAATTATTAATTAATCTTCTGAGAGGGAAAGACTGATTTTTTGTTTTTAATTTTTATGTATTTGGTACAGGGTCTCAGTATGCAGCTTGACTTGTTATGATCCTCCTGTTTTCAGCCTCCCCAGAGCTGGGATTACACACACATGCCACCAGGGCCACAGGCTCAGGGTGCCCTGGGGTGGGGCCGGCACAGCATGTGGTGCTGTGCTGGGGATTGAACCCTGGTCCCATTGCTTGCAGGGGCTTAGTCCACTGAGCTAGTTTACCGGCCCTCTAAGACTATGTTTAAAAGAGAAAAGAAGGCAGAAGAAGGTGAACGATCAATAAATTTAGCTGTTTAAAATTTAAATATTTGGATGTAAACAATATTTTGTTTGTTTATTTGGTGTTTTGAAAAAGGGTCTCACTCTGTAACTCACGCTGGTCCTAAACTTACTATGTAGCTCAGGCTGGCTTTGAACTCACAGCTGTCTTCCTGTCTCAGCCTTGTAAAGGCTGGTACTATAGGCATGCACCACTGCTAAGAATCAAAGTTTTAAAAGCAATCACCAGATGTAAATATTATCAAATAAGACAGAGGATTCAAGCCTATACGTTATTAGAACAGAACAAATGCTTTGGGTATCGAGTATGAAGAATAAGAATAAGTGGTCTTGGGGCCGGGGAGCTGGCTCAGTGGAATAAGCACTTCCCTGGCAAGCACAAGGGTCTGAGTTCAATCCCCGGTTCCACAAAAAAAAAAAAGAATAAGTGGTCTGGCCAGGCATGGTGGTGCATACCTATAGTCCCAGCGCTCAGGAGGCTGAGGCAGGAGGATCACCTGAGTTCAAGATTAGCCTGGACTACATAATTCAAGGCCACCATGAACTGCTGTGAGACCCTGTTTAAAAAAAAAAAAAAAGTAAGAAGTCTGAGGCAAAGGTCAGGTACAAATAAGCAGCTTGCACATGGGTGCTAGAAGCTGTTTCCAGCATTGGATAATAGTTAACAAGCTTGTCACTGGAGGCGAAGTCTGAAATGCTAAGCTCTGATTGGGTTACTACAAAATCAGATATTTCCGAAACTAACCAGAAATGGCAAAAAGGGAAGCATTCTTTATAGAAAGAAAGAGTACAAACTGGTGAAACTTTCTCGGAGGCATTTCTGAAATATGTGTCAAGAACTACAAAGCGATTTATGCCCTTTGACCTAGTAATTGCATTTCTGTTCACCTGTTCCCAAGAAATTAGCCTTAAATACCATCTGCCTTACACAGGGAGATGTTTATTATGGTGTTTTATAATAACAGGAAAGTGGGAATAAAGTGCTCAATAAGAGAAGAGTTCAGTAAATTATGGTGTAAACCATTTGATAACATTATCTAATCAATAAAAATGGTGTTTATAAAGACACTTACTTTGTAATGAGTAATGCCTTATGAAATGAAAAATAGGCTGCATAGTTGTATATAAAGTATTTATAATAAAATTAAAAAGTGGGCATCAACAACAAATCACAGTTGGTAGAAAATATACCACAACATTGAGAAGATTTGTTTTGTGAATGATGCAGTCAGGATTTCTTTTTATTGTTGTTGTTGGTTGGATTTTGTATCTACTTTTTTTTTTGCGGTACCAGGGATCAAACTCAGCACCTTGCACTTGCCAGGCAGATGCTTATGCCACTGAGCTATATCCCCAGCCTCTGTACCTACTTTTTTGTGTGTTTCCCAACTATTCCCTACCGGGCATGTGTTATCACCACGATAGAAGAAGGAACTTGTTGCCTTCTTCCATGCCACAATTCAGAGGCTCACCATCCAGAGAACTCTGCAATGGCCCTGGCAGCATCAATAACAGGGTCAGATTCTGGGCAGAGCTTCCCAAGACCTGCTGGTCCTATTCTCCATCCTCTACCTCCCACTACTCCTTCCTTTTGTTTGGTTGGATTCTCACTCTGCATGTTCAGATGAGGACAGCGGCCTTAGGAATGGTCTCTGCTTCCATTTTCCTGTCTTAATCCTGCTAGATAGGATCTTCAGCTCACAGACCCAGAACTATACCTTCCTGGTTCCTTCAGGATAAAATCCACTCCTCAGCTTTACTTCTGAGGTCTCCCACAACCTGCCCCTAACCCAGCCAGCATACCTGCTGTAGCACTGGCTGCAGACAGACTGGCTGATGCCCCCTCGAAAGAGAGCCTTGAGCTAGAATGAGAAGGTTTGCAGGTGCTGTCAAGGTGCAGAAAGCCCAGAGCCCACCAGCAAATCTGCCTCCAATCCCTGCTAGGGATTAAACTAAGGGTTTTGCTCATATTAAGCACATACTGTGCCACTGAGCTACCCTTAACCCCAGCAAATCTTAAGTCAGGCTACCCTAGTGTAAAAAGCAGAATGTAAACTCATATATTTCCACAGTCACTCTACACAATAAAATTAGGTTAAACATTGCATGCTGTTATATAAAGGGCCCTGACATACTATACAGTATACTTCAGCAAGTAAAAATCACTTTATCCTAGATTGAACCTACAGCTAATGTGCAGCTAGCGCATAAAAGATTTAACACTAATTGTGCCTGCCCTCTGCACAGTGATGTCTGTCTCGGTAAAAATGTCCAGCAGCTGGCAGAGCCACTTAGAATCCTGAGGATGGCAGTGCAGAATTGGCATTGCCCTGTTAAAAATAGCCCTTGCAGCCTGTATTTAAAGCCCAAAGGCCTTGTGGAGGGCTTTCATCATAAGCACTTGGAGAAGAAAAGTCTGTTCCAGCTCATCTTTAGTTCTCTCTCCTCACCCGCCCTGCCTTTCCTTCCCAAGTGCCTCATATGTCTTCATCTTCCTCAGTACTGATGGCAGCTTTGGAGAAGCAAAGTACTTACAAACAGACTGGCAGGGGCTGGCTCTCCCTGTCCTGACTCAGGTGTCTGTTTATGGTGTGACCTATGCACGTGGACATTATGGCTGGGTCCCAGTGGTAGCACCACCCTCTTCTAACCACTGCTGCCCTATACAGTCAGGCTGTTGCAGTTAGAGAGGGATCCTGTTTTATGAGAGCTTGGCATCAGAAGTATAGCCAGATGTAGGCAGAGGGAGCGCGAGGGTGAATTTCAAGGCGTCATTCACTCATTACCATGGAGTCGAGTGGGCAGTGCAGTGGGTCATGAAGGCTTGCCAGCCAGCCCAAGTGCTGAAACACCCTAGAAACTTGGGAGCAGGGGAGGTGATAGCAGTGCTGGGTGAGACTCGGCACAGTAGTCCACAGTGACCACCAACCTCTGGCCATACCATGCAGGGTGCCATATTAGGTGTTGTCAGGATCCTGGTGCCCTGAGCTCTCGCCCAGCCTGGCCTGAGCTCAGGGGTGGGGACATCCAGGGCCAAGGAAGGTGAGGCTACTTATCCCAACCTGAGGACCCTGAGGCTGGTCAGAGGGTGACTGACCGTTCAGGCGAGCATACGGAAGACTCTCACTGGGTGGAGAAGGCCAGCCTGAGTTCAGGCCTCAGAAGGGCACATTTAAACTGACCAGGCACATTTCAGCTGCCCAGAATAAGAGGTCCTTTGTCAAGGCTGCTGCTCTCAGTGATTCTTGGATGATGACTGGCCTGCTAAGCTATCCCTCTCCTCCTGCCTGCTGATCCTGATTCCTGGTCCCTAGATCTGTCTTCCTGTCCAGTTAAGTCTGGTTCCCAGGCAGTGTGTCCCACTCCTGCCCTAGAGGCTCCAAACCTCCTCTGGCTTCTAAGGATGTCCCTGACTGAGCACCTCTCTGAGGCTCCATATGAAGTACTTCCTTTCTCTTTGCTAAGCGCCAGGCCCCTGGGTATTCTCCTACATGGTCGTGACCCTCTTCTGCCTTGGTCCCTGACCATGACTTCCTGCTGTTGTAACCTGCCTCATGTTTTCCCATGCCCCCACCCCCATTCATGCCCAATCTCTCGGATCCCTTCTAGTACGTCTGAGACAGGGTGTCCACTGCTGCTGTGGTCAGTGACCAGTTCTTGCCTCCCCTGTAGCCCAGCTCCTTCTTGACCCTTTCTACTCCAAGTACCTGGTAGGCCTGTTCGGGTTCCCAGAACTGTCCCTTCTCTGGGCCCCTTCCAACACCCCAAGTCCAGAGCACATCTCTGCTGACGGTGACCTTCTGACCACAAGTCTGTTGAGTGAACATACTCTGAGAACTCCATGCTCTGTTTCTTCTGAGAACATAGGCCTAACAGATGGGCCACACTCAGGAAGGTGACAATAAAATAGGACAGACACAGAGAGCACTGGGTTGGAGGTTCCAAGATACTCTGAAAAGTTCAAGTTCATAATTACAGTCGTGCTATCCTTGGTACTATATCAGAGATGAAAAACAAAGGGGAATGTGTTCCAAGGACAAGGCCTTAAGCTTCTTTATCTTTCAGTTTCTCTTCTGCTGTAATTTTCATTTTCCATCAAAATTTCCAGTGCTGGTCATGCGCCAGCCCCCATACTACCCTGTGCCAGCAAAGCTGTTTTTTGCTCACCAGGATATTCTGGAAATTTTTTTGGCAAGAAAAGGAAAAGTGATAATCTAGGCTCAGGGGTTTAGAAAGCTTTCTAGGGTCTTCTCTTGCCTAACCACACTCAGCCTACCTACTTAAACTCTGTAAGGTCATAGAGAGGTGGGTGCAGATTCCTTCCTGTGAAAAGATGCTGGGATGCTCTGAGAGAAGAGAAGGCTGCTTTCCCTGCCTCCTGTCCTTTTGCCATGGTTGGCTGCTTGATCATGTCCAGGTTTCTCAGCAGGACAGGTCTGTCCACCTGCAGGGCTCCTGGTCAGTCTGCTTCCCAGTCTGCACTCAGGCTCTGCCTCAGTGCCCCTTGTGAATGCAGGACAAGACTGCAAAGCACAGCAGGTCTCCTGGGTGACTGTGATGGTGCAGGGCAGGAGTGGACAGCTGGCTATGCGTGCTGGGTCCTGGAGGAGGGGTCCACTCACAGGGAGCTCAAAGGCCCCAGACATCTGAGAAGCATTCTGCAGACAAACACACCGCTGACTGTGTGTGAATGTACCTAGGGACAACTACCTAGTAATATTTAATAATAATTTAATTTAATAATAGTTGACCCAGTTTCTATAGATTAAAGAAGTAAACATTTTATAAAAGTAGAAAAGAGTGGGCTGGGGAGATGGCTCAGTAGAATAAGTGCTTCCCTGGCTAGCGCAAGGTCCTGAGTTCAATCCCCGGTTCCACCAAAAAATAAGAAAAAGTAGAGAGGAAAATTTCTAAGTGTAGAGACTTTATTTTTTCTCTTTCCTTGATGTAAGAGTTAGCACAAAGGTCCCTAAGAAATAATATCTGATGCTTTTCTTTCTTTCTTTTTTTCTTTTTGGCAGAACTGGGGATTGAACTAAGACTCTTGTGCTTGCCAGGGAAGCACTTATTCTACTGAGCCATCTTGCTGGCACCCGATATTTTTCTTTTTGTCTTTTTTTTTTTTTTTTTGGTGAAACCGGGGATTGAACTCAGGCCCTTGCACTTGCCAGGGAAGCGCTTATTCCACTGAGCCATCTCCCCAGCCCCCGTTTTTGTGTTCTTTGAGACACTTTCCCTATGCAGTTCAAGCTGGCCTTGAACTCATGGCAGAAGATTTTTTTTCTTTTTTGGCGACCTCAAGATGCCTTCAGGTCATTTCTGGTTTGAAATGAGTATCTGGGTTCAAACCCCAGCATCCTGAGCCTGACTGCTTTGTTTAAGCAGGCACTTAAACAACTGAGCCAATGGGCAGGTCCCCCGGCCCTGAACTCATAGTGATCCTCCTGACTTAGCCTCCTGAGTGCTGGGATTGCAAATGTGCACCAGCTATCTGATGTTTTTTTTTTTTTTTATTATTTTTAAGATGTCATTGTGTCTTTCTTTATTTCTTCCTTCCTTCTTCTTTTTTTTAATTTTTTTTATTTTAGGGAAGGGTCTACAGGGTGTTCATGGTCTCACTACTAGGACTTGTAGTGATCCACCTGTTTATAGCCTCCAAGAGCTGGGATTACAGGCACTCACCACCACGCCTAGTCTCACGTCTGTTTCTTGATGTGTTTGGATTTGCAGAGTGGGGACAAGTCCGAGGCAGTTGGACCACACTGTCTAAACTTGGGCAGCCATTGGCAGGAGGGTGGGGCCTGGTGTCAGGTATCAGGATGGTTCCAGACATTGTCCTAGAGTCATGTTTCTTGTGTGTGTGTGTGTGTGTGTGTGTGTGTGTGTGTGTTTTCCCCAAACTTTAAGGAATAAAAGAGAGAAGAGAGACTAGCTGATTAAAAGTGCTTAACTATTTGCCTAACATTCAAAGATAGATACGATTTGGATGAAGATATAAAGAAGTAAATCCTTGTACTGTAGTCCACACACCTGACTTGAGAGGGCAGGCAGCGTCAACCCTTTGAAAGGCACTGTTCAGATCTGATTCTTTCTGGCTCTCAGTTCTGGGCCAGAGCCATGTAGATACTGGGAGCCCATGGGAAAGCCTTCTGCCCAGCTGCTGCCCTGAACACTGACTCCCAGCTCGCACATCAGGCAGTGGGAGTGGGAGGGCCGAGAACCGCCAGTGAGGTCGGGGTGTGCTCTCTGCAGGTACGTGTGCATTGCCATGGAGGCGCTGGACCAGCTGCTCATGGCCTGCCACTGCCAGAGCATCAACCTCTTCGTGGAGAGTTTCCTCAAGATGGTGGCCAAGCTGCTGGAGTCAGAGAAGCCCAATCTGCAGATCCTCGGCACCAACTCGGTGAGCAGGGTGGCGGCCTGGGCACGGGGTCTCCTGGTAAGGGTCTGGAGGTGGGCTGAAGGAGGGGAGGGAAGACCTCTAGGTCTGCTTCTGTTTTGTTTCTGACCCTCAGCACCACATACTGCTTCTTTCATTATCCCCTTTTGTGTGAGCAAAGGGATTTTCTGTTTTTTAAAAATGTGAATACTGTGTACCTTACATATCATTTCTGTCAATCTATAAAAAAGTAAAACTTTAATAATAAAATTCACCACCACTTACTGGTCTTAGCATATTCACCAGGTTAAACAACCATCAACATTATCTAACGTACTTATCTTTAGGCTGGTCGTCTTCCAACTTTAACAGATTTTTCCCTTAAGTAATTTTAAGTGGAGCCCCAAGAAATAGAAAAATATATTCACACAGAGGAGCCCACGAAGCTCAGTGCCCTACCAGGTGACCTCTGAAAGGGTCCAGGTTCTGCGTGTTTCAGAGTAAACTGGTAACTGCAGATGAAGGAACCGCAGCCGTGAAAAGACCGAGAGGAAACAGGAAGTTCTGCCCTTTCCTAGCTGTGTACCTCCAGAGGCCTTGGTGTTTTGGTCGATTCCATGGGCAGGTTGCACTTGGTGTCTGTAGGTCCTCCGAGCTGTCTGTTGCTGGTCCCAGTACAAGTGGCTGCTTTCATGGAGGTTCAGATTCATAAGAGAAGAGCTCTCAGGTATGTCAAGAGCTCCCCGTGTCATGTGTGTATTTATATAACCAAGAATGTTCCGGCTACATTCTTTAATTTCTCATCTTTTCTCATCTTTTCTCCTCCCCTTAGGCATACTTTCAGCACCAGTTCTTGAAGCCACTAAGATGTAACTGTTTTACAGGTCTTAGGTGAGGCCTTCATCTCTCTGCAGAGAGCTCTAGAGAGAAGATCGGAAGGCTTCTCCGTAGGCATTCTCAGCCTGACACTTGTGAATCTTTATTACACGGGTCAGGTCTTACTTCCTGTTCTTCCTACATTGGTTTAACCAGGAGGGAGTCTTGTGATGTTTCTTTCACCGGCAGAGAATGACAGCTCATTCCCTTCCCTCTCCTCTCCCTGTGTGCCAGCTGCCTTTGACAAATTACATATACAGTATAGCTGAGGGCAAAGTCCTTTTGTCAGGTTGCCCTGGCAACTGCTTCAGATACTATTTTAGTTGTCTTGTTTAAGATAACTACAGTCTAGAAGAGAACATCTGATGGAAAATAAACTAGTCGTCGTGCCTCTGTGAGGGCCACAGAAGCAGGTGGCTGCTGGCTCTTTTGCCCCACAGCAAATCTTAGCCCAGGGTAGGGGTTTTGTGAGCTACAGGTGAAAATTCGGCGTCCTGTGGCTTCCCCTCGCAGTGCATCACTGTGTCAACCAGGGCACAGGCACGTGAGTGGTTGCTTTTTGGCAGACTGGAGGTTCTAGAAGGACAGGCTCTCCTAAGTAAGTTAAGTAAGTCAAATATGATGTTAGTCCGACTCCAGCTTGGAGGCAGCCTTTCCTAGCATTGCCCTTCTCCTGGCTGCTCTTCCAGTCTCTAGGATGGGCTCCTGGCGCCTTCCCACGTAGAGCATTCCTTGGCTCCTTATCATCTAAGACTGGCCGGTATGCTAGTGCTTGATATAATGTTAGAAAATTAAGCTGGGGCAGGGAGGTGTCAAGAGATCTCAGGATCTTTTAGGACTTGGGGCTTTGTGGTTGCAAAGGAGGCTGGTGTGGATTTACAGAGGCACTGGGTCCTGACTGCCTGCTTCATCCTGCAGCATGTTCCTTTCATCTACATAAATGAACACTTGCAGTGTGGATAAAGGTTTTTGTGGCCAGGAAAAGAAAGAGAAGAAGAAGATAAATAGAAAGAAAAAAGAGAAAAGCAGGAAAGCAGGGCTGGGGTTATAGTTCACTGTCACAGTGCCTGCCACACACAGATACAGAGACAGACAGACACAGACAGAGACAGAGAGATAGCAGAAAAAGACAGAGAGAGAGAGAGAGAGAGACAGACACAGAGAGAGAGAGAGAGAGAGAGAGAGAAGAAACTATTGAGTTCAACTAAGCCCCCACTTTTCTAGTTTTCTCTGCCTTGAAATGGAGGCAGATAAACTGCTTTGCGATTGCATAGTGAGTGTGTTTTCCTCAGATCTGAGAGTGCAAGGTCAGAGCCTCTCCCTAGCTTCACCCATGTGGGGTCCTCTCTCTGGAGCACAAATCTGGGCCCCCAGCCTCTGCACAGGGCAGCCATTCCCTGTAACAGTCTCAGTCCCAAGGCCTCATGACCTCTCCTCAAGCCGGCTCCACCTGCCTGTAGCTCTTTCCTCAGACCTGGCTTAGCTGCCACAATCAGCTCAGAACAGATTTCCACTCTGCAGGGAATCTCTTCAGAACCCCGACCCCATTCCAGGGTGCCACAGCTGAAGTCTTCTGGAAAACTTCAAGAGCCAGGCCTCAACCTTCTTGGAGGTGCTGGGCTCGGCAGTAGGAGAGTGACAGAAAGTACTGTGTGGTGGCCCATGTTTAGGGTACTCTGTGATATGGTGAAGGGTCATACCAGCCAACCCTCTCTCCATGGGGACAGTACATCTTTAGAGTTAGAAATCTGTGGAAGTCATGTAAATAGCAGGTTTCTCCTGATGGCTTTCTACTCAGGTGACTGTCATGCTTTTCTTTCATTCTCTCATTCTCTCACAAAGTACCTGATGCCCTAATTAACGAAGGGAAGGATTATTTTTTAATTAATTAGTTTGTTTATTTGATACAGGGTCTCACTACTTTGGGGCCTTGAATGGAAGGATTATTTAGCTTAGAGTTTGTAGAGGTTTTAGTCCATAGTCACCTGGCTCCAAGGCAGAGGGCAACAGCTCCTGGAGGTGGAAGATTGCAAAAGCAACAAGACAAAAAGGGAGGAGCAGAAAGCAAGCCTCTTTCCCTCCCTTGTATTATGTGCAGACTATTTGCCCCAGGGCAGGTGTAGCACTCACACCCATAATCCCAGTGTGAACCATGAATTAATCACATATCCAGAAGTGCACTCCCGTGACTCTATGAGATTTTGGGGGATCCTGTAGGAACAAACCATAACAGTGACTCACTCTCCCATGTCCTTCTCCACATTCTCTTTTCTCTTTCTCATTCTTCTTAGTTCCTGCAGGAGATAGTAATCCTCCCCAACATGGGTGCCCATGTCCTAATCGCTAGAACCTGTGACTGATGCAAAGGGACTTTGCAGATAGCAGCAAGTTAAGGGACTGGAAATGGGGAGTGTCCTGGACTGTCCAGATGGGCTCACTGGCATCACAAGGGACATTAGAAGAGGGGCGCCCAAGGTTGGAAATACAGCTCAGCAGCATGGTACCTGCCTGGCAAGCAGGTCCTGAGTTCAACTTGCAATACCAAAAAAGAAGAAGGGCCCCCAAGAAGACCAGAATCAGAAAGGGAAGTGATTGTGGAGGCAGAGAGAAGAGAATTAAAGGTGCTTCACTGCTGTCCTTGAACACAAAGGAACACATGAGGCAAAGCCTGTAGGTGGCTGCCTGAAGCTGGGGAACAGTGTGGCTCATGTCGGACTTCTGAGCTCCAGAACTGTGAGATCAGAAGTCTGTGTTGTTTTAAGCCACTAAATTGTGGCCATTCATTACAGCAGCCTCGTGAAGCTAATACTGTTTCCTTTAGTGATTCTTTTTTTTTTTTTTTTTTTTTTTCAACAAATAATACACTGCATATATTCTTCTTAATGGTAGTGATTCTTTTTATACCCCTGGAAGGTCTGTGATCTCTGAGGTGCTTTGCTCCACCCTCTTCTCATTCTGTTCCCCTGGACGATGTCATCGACTCTTACGGTAGTCTAGGGGCTGGAAATGGTGCAGTGTCCAACACCAGCCTAGCAATCGGCACTGCCAGATGCCAGTGGGCTAGAGACGGGCTCTGTGGCATCAGGTGGCCTCTGAAACACTTGGGACCAAGGCTCAGCACCAGAAACACAGGATCTTACACGGAGGCAGCCAGGCTATCTCTTGGCCTATGCTTCCTGACTGCAGGCCCAGGGTACATGGGAAACTTGGGCCAAAAGGAATAGCTTCCCCAGAATGGCCAGGACTAGATATTTCTGGAAGTTTCTAGAACGGCCGCTGGTTTTGCAAAGACCCTTGAAGAGGGGACAGCATAATGTGGGTGGACAGGGGAATTTCTGTGCCTTGGCTGGTGGTCAAGAGGTTGGCATTGTTGATCCCATTATGGGGACTATTTCCTGGCTCTAGTGAAATCTTCTCCAGGGAATCACAGTAAGTCACTAAGTCAGAGCAGTTGCTGGTTTGGTTGCACATGCCTGTAATCCCAGCACTCTGGGAGGCTAGGGAAAGAGCATCAGAAGTTTGAGCTCAGCAACCTAGTCACTTAGTGAGACCCTGTCCCAAAATAAAAAATAAAAATAGACTGAGGAAGCAGCTCAGTGCAAAGGCCTTGTGTTCAGCGTTCAGCACTATAAAATAAGACTAAAACCAGGACTGCAAGGAGAAGGGGGCCAGCTGGATACAAGTTGAAACCATGTGCTTTGCAAGGTCCACTTTCAGCTAGAATTTGCCTTAGTGAAGTGGAGAGCAGTTCCCATTTACCTACAGGGAGCTAAGTGCAGCAGGAAGCCAGCCATCTTCCGGCTCAGACAGAGGTGGGCCTCTGTGTCTGCCCTGTATGGCTCCCTACGTTTCTATTCTTGGTGGCTCAGAATGCTGACCATACAACAGGGAAAGTCCAGCTCACCTCAGAGAGACTTGGTTGGTACAAAAGTGGGGCCAGCCTGCTCAGCTTCCCATCTGCAGACCAGGGAGAGCGTTAATATTTGGAGCTTGCTTTCTCTCCCTTACTCAGTCCCTTCGTAACCCCCAGCTTTCCAGCATTATGGCTCCTGCCAGCCCATCCTGGAGGGAGACGATCCATCCCAGCAAGCTCAGTACCCTTTGCTGTATATAAAGAGCTGCAACTTTGATCTTGAAAGGGTGGCCTT